TAATAGGATTAATTCCATTACTGTATTCTATCCAAAGGTTATAAACCTTTGAAGAAGTGTGACGCGATTGAATTTGAATTCGTATTACATTATTGCATTGTCGGTGGACTGAAAGTTGGTACATACCATCGTCGTTTAAGTGTTCCTCAGTATAGGAACGTGCTTGCTTGAGTTGATAAACTCCGATTGTTAATTGTGTTAACTCATCTACAGTTAGTTTTGGAAAGTCTGGAAGGGAATTGTCATCCATGGGCTGCCAGATTACTCTCTTTTTCGACCAATCTTCTTTTTCAGCTCTTTCTTGCAAAACATTCGGCTTATCAGCTAATCGCAACATACGTTCGGCAATGATGAGATCGTCAGATTTTCCAGTCAACCTTGGAGGACGGAATGAGTTGCAAAGAGCACAAACGATGTGTACGTATTTTTCTATGTACGGAATTTGACTATTGGAAAACCTGGTCAAGGGCTTTCCATTTCTTTATAAGACCGTTGACAGCTTCTACCACCCAACGTACTTTTGTTACAAGACGAGACTCATTTGCTTCAAGTGTAGTATGTTGCGACCCCTTCTTTAGAAAATGCGGCATTTTAGAAATGAATTCCAAATCTTCAAACATTTCCAAACAGTCTCTAAATCCACGATCGACCACAAATACGCTGTCTGGTGGCAGCCATGAGCGAAGAGCTTGTGATTCTTTTTTCATAAGACTTGCTAAAATGCTAGCATCATTATTTTTACCGTCTGCAAAATAAGGTCCAAAAACATCTAAAATGTATCCTGTGGTACTTACAATCACCATAGGTTTGACAAGAGGCCTGCCTTTGTGCACCGAATAACAGCGTCTTTGAAATTGATAATTTGAACTCTTCTGAATGTAAATGTAAGTTCCATCTGCCACAACAATACATGGCTGATTCTTAAGAAAAATCGAAATTGATGTCCATAATGATTTTTGTAAATCAGCATCGTCAATTTTGAAAAACTTTTTTTTTTAATTAAACTACTGTACTAGATGTACGAATTTAGTAAAAAAAAAATTTTTTTATATGATAAACAAAAAAGATATGTCCAAGAAAATACCCTGAAAATAATTCCCTCACTGTGTCCAAATGCTAAATTCGAAGAGAATTATTAACTCAAAAGGTAAAATTCCTTAATAATTTTTTGTTATTTTATTTTTTACTTATACAAGATAGTATTGCCTGTAACTACATGAGTTTATAATTGAAAAACAACAAATGGAGATACTTTTAAACATACTTCAAAATTTGTCCATAAAAAATGCATCATTCCCTCACCGCTTTGAAACAGTGTGATTGCAGCTTAATTTGAAGACCTACCAAGCCCTGGTTTGATTTTTTTTAAAAGTTGTCAACAATGTCATTAACAACATACACTAGATCGAATGGTTGTGGAAAGAATGTTGTGTTAAAACAAATTTGTTAGTAATTTTTTTAAGCATTACATTTCTTACCGTCATTCCCTCATTTGCGTTTTAAAAAGGTAAGAACTTTTTTATTTAATAATCATAGTATATTTTTATGTGGTTCCGGTACCAATATCTCACAGTACATAGTACGTGAAGAAATAAGGTTATGTTTCTGAGATAATGGTCATTTTCTTTCGTTTCGTCATTCCCTCACAGAATTTTGAATGGGGGAACCTTTATATTTGATTCAAACTCAAAAAAGTTGGGGACCATTATAATATTTTAATTAATTAATACATAAACAACTGAATGTTAAAAAAAATTCAATAATATGTCAAAAAAAATTTATTAATTTGGTAAAGCCATTTTCGACTTTTTTTGAGAATCAGCCACATACATCTTTTCCTTCAGCAAAAAGAGTTTTTGACATAGTTGTTGTGTGTTTTGCAATAAACTCTGAGGGAGTAATGTGATCTGTTCCTAAAAACAGGCACAAAAGATTTCATCAGAGCTTCCCGACTTGATGCGATTGCTATACCTGTTCTTCTTTTCGAAATTCCGAATAAAGTAGACAGAACAGAAAGAGAAAGACCTGTTCGAAGTTTCATCAAAAGCAATGCTAAACATGTTCTGTAAGACCTGTCAGTTGTTGATCGTAAATGGTCCTATACATACTCATCAAGAGAATCAAAATCACATTTCATTACCTCAGTTAGATTATAATAATCATTATTATTTAGAGCACCATAGCGATCAAAATCTAAACCTTATTTAGATGCAATTTTTCGCAAGTTACAAAGCAATTCTTCAATTGTTTTACTATTTACTACTGAAACATCTGATTGAACTGTAAGTGAGTCAATTAGTTCCTCCTTTAGAAACCCTCCAAGCAAATGTTTTTTACAGCACCTTGATGCTGGGGGAACAAACAATTCTCTTTTGAGGAATACTTGAGTTCTTAAATCAGGTAAAACTCGTACAAGATTCTGACTCTTGTGACAAACAATACACTGATGCTGAGTCATTGTGCATCTATTTGTATTCAAATCTATAGAAGTCGCCATAATGAAAACCAATTTTTAGAAGAAAACAACACTAACTTGTCATACAGTGTAATACTAAAATCAGTTTTAAGAAGACAATACGTACAGGTATCAGATTATCAAGAACTAAACTCAATACCAATAGACCTTTTTATAAACATTTTTTAAGATAAAAAGTATTTTTTTTAACTTATAAAAAATGAAGGACGCTACGTGATGCGAGAATAAAACAAATGAAACACGCTGGACTAAGTACCATCAAAACTCGATCACAAAATCAAGGAAATGAACGACGCTGCACAAAGTAAACTAATAAATCTCTGATTGATTATAAAATGAAACAAATGTAAAAAGCTGTACTAAGTTTACTATTAAAACACTTAGGAAGGTGTACTGGTTAGAAAATACAACAAATAAACGATGCTTTATAAAGTGAACTAATAAAACATAAGAAAGACGATCGATTAGATAATGAAACAAATGAAACATGCTGTACTAAGTATACTACCAAAACACTTAGACAGGTGAACCGAGTAAAAATGAAACAAAGAACGACGCTGAATAAAGTGAACTAACAAAACATTGATCGTTTAGAAAATAAAACGTAAGCGAACAAAAACGAACGTAAAACGCAAGCGAAATTGTACTAGGTGAACTATTAAAACACCAGAAAGGTCTACGATTAGAAACATAAAAAGCACGCGCTATTAAGAATACACGAAAATGTCAGACCGTAACCTTAGGTTTTAAAAACGGACATTTTTGAAAAAATTGTCCACCATATAAGTTCCGCTTTTAAAAAATTTTAAAAACTGACACCAAATTCAGAATCATCGACCTTAAAAAACCCCAGATACTGAGTTTAACGCGCATTGGATCAATTTTTTTTTAAATCGTCCGCCATATTGGATCCGCCATTTTTAATTTTCTAAAACTGACTTCAAATTCATAATCACAGACCCCCAAAACCCCTAGATATTGAGTTTAAAAGGAATCAAATCAAAATTTTAAAATAGTCGGCCATATTGGATCCGCCATTTTGAATTTTGGAAATCTGATGTCGGATTTGTAATTGGCGACCTTGAAAACCCCCGAGTAACGAATTTCAAGCGAATCTGACATGATCTGATCAAAATTTTGAAAATTCGTCACCATATTGGCGCGGCCATTTTGGATTTTTTGAGACTGGCTAAAACTTTGGAGAGCTCACTTTGACATATTTTCTTTAGCATATATGTGAAAAGTTTTTGGGAAAGTATGGTGACCTAGGTTATTCGTGAGCTCAAGGAAATAATTATTTTTCTTTGAAAAGTACAAAAACCCATGTATTTTGCAATTTTTTAAGTCGGGTTATTTTCCTTAGTTTTTGACAAATCGAAAAACGGTTTTGGGGTATTGTCAAGCATACTAAAGAGATGAAAATTTTTATAATATAAGCCCCTATATATAATTAAAAAATGTTTCAACTGAAATTTAGTGGAATTTCTTGACAGTAATTCAATTTTTAAAAGAATTTTTAAAATTATTTTAAAAAATCATGCTTTTGAAGAATTTTAATTGCAAATATGAAAATACATGATTTTTCCAAAGTTTCAAAAAAAAAATTAAGTTTTTTAAAAGAATTTTCGGACAATTTAAAAAACTAAACATTTTCTTCAACAATTTTGATTAAAAATTTTGAAAACAATTGTTTTCTCCAAAATTGTAATAATAATTCTAAAAAATTTCAATATAATTATTTTTTGTACATATCAATTTTACAATTTTTTAAATATTCACATATTCAACTTTACATTTGAATTTTTGGAAATATGTAATTGAAAATAGGGAAAATAAATGAATTTAAAAAAGTTATAACAAAAAAGTCTGCGAATTTACAAAATTAAAATAATTTCTTACTAAAATGTTTTTTTAAAACTAATTTTCATTTTCGTTTTTTATTAAAAATTTGATATTTAAATTATTCTTTAAATTTGCAATTATAAATATTTAATTTAATTTTCCAAAATTTGAATAAAATACTTGAAAAAACCAATTATTTTTAATAAAATTTTTAAAAATTGCAATTATTTAAAAACTTTCGAATTATATATTTCAAAAATGTAATTAAAAATAAATTATGAAATATTTGACTACACTTGTTATTTACACTACAAAATTTGAAAATGTCGCATTTTTTGAGCATTTACAATTGAATAAAATTGAAATGTACAGTGAAATGTAGCTTCGTAATAAATCTTTAAATTACGAAAATGTTCTTTCACTGTTATTTATTGTTGGAGAACAGTATCGACGACAGTTTAGTTTGACAAATAGTCGCCTTCTTGATTCTCCCAGCAATGTTAAAAAAATGTTGAAAATCTCACATTTTTTAAGATAAATTACTTAAAATATTTTTGTGAAATTGAAACTATTTACTAATTTTATGAGGCTAAACTCCAGAATGTTTTGAAAAATGTTGAGAACTTAAGCCGCATCTAATTTTAGTTTTATTTATAAAATTGATTTGTATAGAAATACTAACCAATATCCTAGCAATGTGATTCTCTAAAACTTCGGCGAGCGCAATGTTAGACATTGCCACGTGTTCCTTGCCGAGAAGTTTCAGTAATTCTTCCTTCAATTTACCAATTCTTGACTGTTTGTTCAAAGAGACAACACATCTCACGGGAGATTCATTGTTCGCAGGAACGTACGTAACACTCAATTGTCTTTCCATAGCGTGAGGTAATGGCACCGACAAATACATGAAGGGTTCGTACGTCACAGATACGTGTTTGCAGACTGCGCACACCACCTGCAATTACAATTACTATTCTTTTAATAATTCTTAAATACTTCCATTTCTTTCTTTTTATATCCACAATATAAATACACAATTTATTGTTGCACCAGACTGAGTTTTGTATTCATTGCATTTTAAAAACAAAAAGGAATTTCTGATGCTTTAATATTGGAGATTATATACGGTATATACTTAAGTCTTCAGCAATACCCCAACGTTCATCTCCAAAAGAAAGATTTTAATGATTACACAAGCCAGCAAAAAAAATTTAAATTTCCGTTGTCTGAGATCGAGAAGTAATTTCCCGCAGTTTTTGGTGCTCTTAATCCAAATCTGGCAACTAAAACCTCCCATCACGTCAGGATTTTGAGAAAAGTGGGGGTAAATTCCAAAAAATCATGTTTTTTTGCAGTTTTTTAAAATTTCTACCGGGTAAATCCGACGTGCTAGAGACTTGTCAAAGGAGTCAAATTAAATCCTGAACCCTGTACTTTAAGAAGATATAGCAATATTGCTACACGGAGAGAAATTTATAGTAGTGGGTAACATAATAATGATGGTTAGGGTGACCATCTTTAATGCTACGTATACAGACAGCTATCTAGATTGTAGTATTTACTACACTGAGAGAAGAAAAGCACAGAATCCGTACTGTGACAAACACCGGCCGTGTAAAATGCGTGTCAGTGCCCGTTCTAAATTTTATTCAGTTGGTGTCATTCATAGTTCAGATACTATGCTCAAGCAGCGCGGCGGCGGTACGAACTAATTAGTACAGGATCTGTTTCATAGTGACTGACAGATACTGTACTTCTAAACAGTAGCATTTGAAGTACAACATCTGTACCTCAAGCCAAAGTCAAAATCCGTTTCACACTTTAGCACGACACCTATCACACAGTGGCACTGCTGCTGCGTTCAATTGCAGTACAGATGCTGAACTTTTCCATTTCAGAATCTGTGCTTTTCTTCTCTCAGTGTATCAGAAGATTATTGAAATCTGATTGTACAGGTAACAATATTTGATGTTAAAAATGGTTGGTTGGGGTTATACCATCAGAGATTATTGCCAATCGCCAGAAGAGGGCAGAAGTATGCAGAGCAAGCACAATGGCCGAGCTGTCATATTCTTTGCATTACATTACTTATCAATTTTTCATTTTACAATAACGTTTACGCATGGATTTAAACAATCTTTTCGGTTATTATAATTTAGAAGACGCTTATTCAGTGTGTGTAAGCAGATTTTGTAAAAAGTGCCTGTGTTCAGAGAAAACTTTGATGGAGAATGTTGGTTTACCTATTTCAGGTCTTTTAAACCAGTCACTGCCGTTCTCCTATTTGGCGATAATCGGAAGTCTCATTTAACCTACAAATTTCAGAGACTTTCCAACACTTTTAAAAAAATTTATTGTAAAATGAGAATAACTTGTGCTAGCATTAACCTGTCATTTTAAAAGAAAATTCAATCGTTTAAAATTTTGAGGTTATAAACATGTATAAATTTTATAGTCTTTGATTAACTATAAGAAAAATAATTAACTAACTGACAAAAGTTGGAATCAAAGACTCCATATTCCACAACACTGAAATATTTTTTACAAAATTTTCAGTTTTAAATGAATTTGGAAACACTAACGAATTTTTTCAATTGCATTGAAACGTGTTGTCATAGTCAGCGCTTGCGCTCACGTTAAACTTCGACAATATTTGATAGTATAGTAACTACAATCAGAAAGTTAGCATATGTATATGTTCTCGGGTAACATCTTAGATTGTAAAAAGTGGATAATAGATTGTACCCAGTAACATAATGATGGTACCACGTACAATTTTTTTTTAACCATCAAATTCTAACTATCCATTTCTCTCAGTGTAATAAATTCAAAGCGAATCCAATCATATTTTAAAATACATAGTTGTAGGGTGATGTGAAACATGGGGGGATGTGCAACACCGATGATTTCTGATCTACAGTTCGATATTAAACAGAGCCAAGTATTGCCATTTGTTTGTGTCCTCAGTAGCTTGTTTTTTATATAAAACTCACGAGACAGTTCGCAGCTAGGTTTGCTGTACGTAAGTTGACTTAAATTTCTCAAGAAGGAAATATTTCTCGCGCTTTACATTTCTAGTCGTTTCGTGAAGGGTTTTAATTTATTTTATAGATAAGAATGTGTTTATTGTTGGTTTTTTAAGTGTTTTTAATTAACTGTTTATATTTTGTGTTTCCATTGCATTGTATTGCGTACAAATCATTTTTCGCAAAATATCATATTTGGGGTGATGTGCAACACTTTTTTGGGGTGGACGTAACTACTTTTTACGTGCCATAACTGCGATTCACATGATGAATAAAAAATTCTTAGTTATTTTCCTTTAATTATATTTCTTATTCAGTTATGAATAATTAATTCGCGCTCCGTCGATTATTTCTCACGTCGCGCTTCGCGCTCCGTTTTTTATGTTGCGCGCTTCGCGCGCAAATGTCTCGCTTCGCTCGCGGTGGTCTGCAGTTGTTGTGCATTATTTGTGTTCTTGTTATTATTTCCTATTATATGTTTAATAGTACATTTTTTTTCTTAAAGTTACTACGACTTTAAGGATTACATTCTCATCACATGTTTTTGTTTGCTGATAATTGCAAGATTAAGTGGATTAAAATGTATATTTTTGGTAGAGATGTGCAAAAAGCTCGAAATGTCGATCCGAGCCAAGCCCAAGCCGGCTCGATGTATCAAGTACTCGACATTTTCGAGTACTTGAGTGACTTCAAGAACACGAAAAATTCGAGTTCTCGGGTAAATTCGAGGACTCGATTAAATTTGAGCACTAGAGTGAATTCGAGTACTCAAAACGAAAAGCTCGATCAAGCTTCAAGCTTTTTGCACAACTCTAATTTTTGGTCTTGATGATTAAACTTGTGAAGTTATTTTTAATTATACTAACTCTCTTAGCAGAAACATGATTTGCAGAAGCAGCTAAAATATTTTTAAAGTATTATTATCAAGTTGTTGATAAAAACTGATTTTTATAAAAGTTATAACATTTTACAAAATCAATAACAAATTCTTTAACACAGCTAATAGGGAGCGTTCACAAATGATGTCACGCAATTTTTCGGGATTTTAGACACCCCCTACCCTGTCAAGCAATTTCATGCAATTTCACTTGCAAAAATACATTGTTTCACGTTTAGTAGAGACCCCCCCTGCCCCCAAAAACGTGACATGATTTGTGAAAGCTCCCTAAGCTGACTGACCCATAAACTTAAAAAAAAAAAAGTAATTTCTGACGAAAATAGCTGGTTAACGAACTTGGCCTTCATTTTTGTACCAACTTTAAGTGTGTTAAAATTAAAAACGATCGGATATGTTTTTCAAGAGTTATCGTGGGAACAAAATTTTTGATCTACAGACAGACAGACAGACATACACCATCGCTGGACCATGTTTTTTGGGTTCAGGGGACCCCAAAACGTCGAGATTTCATGAAATTAGCGAAAGTCAATTTTCGACCAAAACTAATACTTTCTCATATGATGAGAATGTAATAAAAATTACTTTTTTTGAAAATAACTCGAAAAGTATAGGGTTTGGCGAAATGGTGTCTACAGCAAAGTTGTAGCTAAGGATGAGACGAGAAAAAAAGTCTCTAGTAGCAAGATTCCACATGAAATAGATTTGGAGATAATTGAGTCGGAAAATCGATTTTTTGCCAAAAAATAATAATATATGAAGCATTTTACGTGAAATGTCCTAAGTTGAAATTTCAACTTCTTGAAAAAAATTGAAACTCGAGGAATTTGTTGTTCTATCAAGTAGAAATGTGACCCAATAAATATTTTTGATTTTTTCGAAAAATTGGAGGGAGTAGAGGGGGGTCAATTTGACCAATTTTGCCAACATCGGCTACTTTGTGAATTTTTTCGGAACATACTTGTAATGGGAAAATTTTTTTAGAATATGTTTCTGAAAGGTTTTTTCGTCCTCTTTCGAATGGTGTATTTTATTTTTTAATATTTTTAAAATTTACCCTAATTTTTGATAATTTATATTTAATTTTCAATTTTGGGATTTTTGAGTTTTTTTGACCATTTAAAAGCTTATAACTCTGAAATTTGACTTTTTGACAAAAAAGTTGTAGAGAAAAGTTGTTTGTATTTTTCTAATCTGAAATAATATAAAGTTAAAAATTTGAAAAAATTGAATTTTCAAAATTTTGAAATTACTGTAGTTTTTGTAATTTTTGACGAAAATGTCTGGCTAACGAACTTAGCCTTCATTTTTACACCAACTTTAAGTGAGTTAAATTTAAAAACGATCCGATAAGATTTTCAAAAGTTATCATGGGAACAACATTTTGTGTCTACAGACAGACAGACATACAGACAGACACCATCGCCAAACCATGTTTTTTGGGTTCAGGGGACCCCAAAACGTGAAGATTTCATAAAATTAGCAAAAGTCAATTTTCGAACAAAACTAATACTTTCTCATATGATGAGAATGTAATTAAAAAAAAAAAAATTTTTTTCTTTGGTGAAATCTCCACTTTTTAGAGGTCAACTATACCTTAGTAAATTTTTTTTGGCAGATTTCGAGAAGTTTACATTGAAAAAGCCTAAAATAAATAATTAAAGAGATTTTCATCCATATTTATGCATTATATACCTGAATTTTACTGGTGTTGCACATCACCCCAACTTTTTTGGAAAATGCAAAAACAGACGTTTTTAAAAAAGCGAAAAATTTGTAGGAAAAATTTAAAATTTTGAAAATCTAATAATGCAGAAATATTCTATTATAATGCTTCTAAGTCATTCAATTTTGAAATATTTAAAAATTTAATTATTTGACATGTTTTTCGTCCAACAAATAAAAACGTTGCACATCACCCCACAACACCCTATTTACGGACAGTCTGAGTCAATTTTTATGCTTGCCAACTGTTAACCCTCCTGCGTACCTATTTTCACCCATAAAATTGTTTCCAAATGCACAAATTTTTCA